CAACTCCTAGTCTAACGAAACGGATTGAAGTATTTGAACTGGTAGACCGCTTCACTTATTTGTGAAGCGTTAGCAAAATTAATCGACTGACTGATGACAAAATCTCAACACAAATACAAAAAGTCCGTGTGGCGTTTTTCAACCTAGGATTATCTCTGGCGTATATGTGGTATCAATCAGGTAATCGGCCTCTCCTAGTTTACTAGTTCGCTAGTTTTCTAGTCGGTCCCAAGCTGGAGTAGAGAGGGTGGGGCTAGTGACCTGTTAAGCCAATCAAACTGCCACCGAAACCTCGATGCACATGAAAAATACTTTATAAAATGCAAAAAAATATTTTTAAAAAACGCATTCTTCGCTGAAATGGTGGAGGGGAAATGATAGCAGTTTGGGAAGCCAGTCAACCGTTGTGCCTTCCCTCGATGAAAGCAAAAATAAGAATAGGGAGTGGAATGCCCAAACAATGTAGGAGGCTGGCTGGGAAGGCTGTCCAGGTAGCCAAAGAAGTGAAAAGATACGGCAGAGAAGTTCTGGGTATCTGCGAGAGCAGATGGCATGGATGTGAATTATCGAAATTGTCAACTGGAGAATCAGTAATCTACTCTGGTCACCCAGACTGTGAGAAATCTGAGACAGTGACTGTTATGATGTCACCAGTGTCTGCCAAAGCACTAATGCAATGGGAAACAATTTCATCCAGGATCATGGCAGCAAGATTTAACTCGAAAGAAACCAAGTTAACAAGTATTTGCAAACAACGCGGAACAAGAGAAGAAGGAATATTTCTACAGATAACTACAAACAGTAATGGACAACATCCCAAATAATGACATCAAAATCCTCATGGCAGATATGAATGCCAGCCCAAATGGGAGCAGATGATACAGGAAAAGAACTCATTGTGGATCGAGAGGCTCTCAAAGTGAATCAAGACGGAGAACTCTTCGCAAACCTCTGCGCTTACAATGATTTGGTAATTGGAGGCATCATGTACAGTTACAAGGATATACACCAAGCGATACGGATTTCACATGACGGATAAACCCCAAACCAGAAAGATTTCATCTCACTATTGTTCAAGGAAGTGGACACGTAGCCTCCTGGATAGAAATCTAGAATGGGAGCAGATGTGGGCTCAGTGCATCATCTGGATCTAGTAACCTTCAAGGTGAAGCTGAAATCCCTGAAAACAACGGGAAACAGTCCAAAACTCAAGTTCAACACTCAGAAACTGAAGGACCAAACAACAAGGGATGCTTCCACTACAGATTAAATCAGAGCGAAGTGGGAAACACTGCGTGGTATCACTGGGTAAAACCTACCTGGAAAGAATTTGGAACTAACTCTTCCGAGGAGGTGTTCAAAGGAACGTGTACAACTGTTCTACCGAAAAAAGGAGACAAGACAAGGAATGGCTCTAAATGGACACCTGCCTGGAAGCTAATAGAGGAGAGGAGAAGAGAATGATGAAAGGGAGGTTGACCCAATGCAAAGACGGACAACAGAAGGAGAAACTGAGTTCACAACAATGTACACTGCACGGAATGAAGAAGTGGACAAGAGTGTTAGGGAAGACAAAAGACAATCCTACGACACACTGGCCAGCAACTGAGGCAGAATAGGTCGCAGACAGGTAAAAGAGAACACCATATCAGACAACTAGTTCTATATCCATGAAGAGACCAACCCAGATGATGAAATAAATAAAAGATGCTCAAGGGAACCTGATCACCAAGGAGGAGGAACAAATAAAACAAAGGGCTGATCACTTCGGAGGACTCTTGACTCGACCATCACCTGCAACTCGTCTAGAAATACCACCAACCCAACCACCAACAGCCCACACACAGAACTGACTGTCAGTGGACAACAATCCTCCAACCAATGAAAGCAGAAATTCTTATCGTGATCAAGCTACTTAACACTGGCCGGGAAGGCAGCAGGGTCAGACGGAATTTCACGGACACAAAGACTGCAGCAGATATGCTCACGCCAGCATCCCAGGAGGTTTGAAAAGAAGGAAGGAAAGGTGCCTATCGATTCGAAGAAAGGCTGGCTACTCTGTCAAGCTACCTAATTAGGACAACTTACTCCTCATTGCATTGGCCAAGTCTTTATCAACTTCATTCAACAACTGGTTATATTGACAATGCCTGCCATGCGTCAGGTGATCCACAACGGAAAACTCAGAGAGGCGTTCGAAGTACATACAAGAGTAAGATAAGGCTGCCAATTATCACTGAGGATATTCTCTGAATTATGAGTCAGACTGTGAGTGGGAAGTGAGGAGAAAGGAATACGCTGAACCACCGATAAGAGGACTCTAGAAGATATACAGTTCGCCGACAACTTACGTTTAATGTCACACAAACTCGACGGCTTGTAGGCGAAAACCAACAAACTGGCAGAAGAGGCTAATGGCGAAGACAGGACTCCATCCAGGTGAACATAGAGAAGGTGCAGACAGTTTTGAAGATTTCCAACCAACATCAACAACAACCAGCACCAGTCACCATCAACGGAAGAGATTTAACAGATGTTACTTCCGTTACTTATCTAGGAATCACGGTTTCAACCACAGCCAGTGGAACGGATGAAAAAGTCAAAGCCGACCAGCCAGCCAGACACAATCGGAAAGGCAATTTACACCTTCATCAACCTGAAACCAGTTCGGGAATTGTCTGCACTGCACTACACAACAGCACAAACAACAACACTCGAATTTTCAACACAAATGTGAAGTCAGTTAGTCAGTCAGTCAGTCACTTCTTCCATACAGGTCAGAAAATTGGCCAGTGTGTCAGTTACAAAAAGGATCAACAGCTGATCACTTCGCTAGCTTCACATTGAAGACCGAATGACCAGCCGGTCAGAAAGAATTAGTAACAAGAAACTCTGGCTGGCTGGCTGGCAACAAACCAAACAAGAGCCGATCGCTCAACAAATATGTGGGCGGAAATGGAGATGGATCGGGCATGAGTTGAAGAGACCGTCGAATGACATCACGCTCAATGCAGGCCATTGCTCGAGTGGAATCCCAATGGGAAGTGACGAGTGGGTCGTCGGTGTGAGGGTGACATGGAAGAGATCGTCTGAGAGATTATGGGCAATCTTGGGCTTAGCTGAAGAGGACAGCACCAAATAGAACGAAGTACAGATGTGTTGTTGAAGTCCTTTATTCCACTCAGAACCCAAGAGAATAATAACAATAATCCGGTAATCGATCGAAGGACATGGGTAGTGCACAACTAGTATACACTCTGTCTTTCTTTTTTTATGGCCACGCGACATGTTCATTGAAAGTTAAATACTTGAAGAGACTAGCTGTCTTTGACTACAAATGTTTGCCTTCTGTCTCTCATGTTAAGTGATGTATTATGGTGAGCAAGATTGTAATTGGGCTAGGCTATGTGTAGTTTGATGTAAGGATGGAAAGTCAGTTGATTACGTTGTGATGTTGCATCGATTGGGATAGCTAGGACGCACATTATGCATTCCAAGACGTCACCGTCTTCGTTAAACAGCGTCAACTGACATGGTATTACGTTATAAAGGAGTTAGTAGTGATCAAGCTAGAATCTAATATCAACCCATGTTGTCTTTGATTTTCGTTTTGAGCCACGTCGAAAGGTTTATTTAATATAATAATAAATAAATAATAATATATTTGTGTTAATAATAGCTATTTTGAATTCTGTTTTCTTCTACATTTTTGTGCTATATGGAGTGTGATAACTGTATTTATGTGCAAAGTTGTAGGTTGAGAACTATTCAGTCAGTCAGTACTGACTATCCTCAGACACCAGACGACAACTAATCTACATGAGTGACATACTCTTGATTAAGTGGTAGTTTTGAAGTTTCATCTACACACAGAATTTATTCTGCAGCTACAGACGACTGTAAGTTAAGTACAGCTTCACAATTTTTGAGGCCAACCTTTTTCTCACACAAAGCACTGATTTGATTGGAAGATTGGTGTCTCCTGGCAGTCAGTTCTGTGTGTGGGCTGTTGGTGGTTGGGTTGGTGGTATTTCTAGACGAGTTGCAGGTGATGGTCGAGTCAAGAGTCCTCCGAAGTGATCAGCCCTTTGTTTTATTTGTTCCTCCTCCTTGGTGATCAGGTTCCCTTGAGCATCTTTTATTTATTTCATCATCTGGGTTGGTCTCTTCATGGATATAGAACTAGTTGTCTGATATGGTGTTCTCTTTTACCTGTCTGCGACCTTTTCTGCCTCAGTTGCTGGCCAGTGTGTCGTAGGATTGTCTTTTGTCTTCCCTAACACTCTTGTCCACTTCTTCATTCCGTGCAGTGTACATTGTTGTGAACTCAGTTTCTCCTTCTGTTGTCCGTCTTTGCATTGGGTCAACCTCCCTTTCATCATTCTCTTCTCCTCTCCTCTATTAGCTTCCAGGCAGGTGTCCATTTAGAGCCATTCCTTGTCTTTGTGTACAAGTAAATAACGGAAAACTATTCGATAACTGTGTTACGTAGCATATGAAATTTTCCATTTTACTCATAAATTTTACTCATGGACATTGGTAAACTTCATAGAAAACACTGTATTGTTTAGTTCATATTTCGAGTAATACTTTCTGGGAAATTTTAATTACAAATGTAAAGATAAAGCTAGTTGGGTAATCTGATCAGTTGACAAGAATGATGTTTTCCGTCGATACCCTGATACGTCTTCACTGTGTGTATGTTTGTGCATGAGAGACAGATATAGTGGTTGATAGACATACATAATTTGATGGGACACTAGTAACTAGTGTGACGTGTCTAGTCCTTTCTTTGGTGCAGACTGAATTCTATCAGTCAGGTTTTGCAATGTGACCACCATTCTAGGTAGCACGCCATCACGGTGCACATTGATTTGATGATATTAGATAGTTGGAGGCAATCGGCAGGAAGCCTTGGACCTAGGAAATACATAATTCTTCCTCTATCTCACATTTGCATGTACATGAACTGTATTGTGTTCCTTCTTTCTTCATTTTAGGATCGTATCTCAACTATTCGTACAATATTAGTACAAATAGTAACGGATACCGGACAGTTACCAGTTTGTAAATGCTGTCGGCCACAGTTGACAAATCAACAGATAGCTGGAGTGATTGCTACTTCACCAAGTGAATTAGCTTTCTTAATCAAATTGACAACTTTACCAAGTGAGCGTCCTTCCATTGTTTCTTTTTCTGCACTTATTCCTCCACTTCCAAATACTTCAGCTATTTAACAATATATTTCATTTGTTCAGTTACCGAGACCAAGCAAATCAAATTAATAAACACTTGTTATGTTGAGAACTTGAATTCACCTCATTCTGTGTAGATACAGGTAAAAATATACACAAAATGTGTATTTTGAATGTGTCTACTGACAGATTAAAAAATTAATCTAATCACACGATAATTAATTTTTATTTATTTATTCATTTATTTATTAATGTTAACGAGTGAATTCATGTTGATTGAAAACGAGTAGAACTGTAGACTACTGAAATGAACGTAAAACTTAGTCGCCAAGTGCATTTCAAAGTCCAAATAGTGTATCTCACCAAGTTGATTGTCTGAAGGTGTCTTGTCCCAGCCCTATTCAAACTTCACTCAGACTCTCTCTCTCTCTCTCCCTCGCTTTCTCTTTAAAATAAGATACAGATCTATCTGTTAGATTTAGAACTTACTCATTTGTCTACAAGGCATGAAGTAAATCAATTTTCAATCAGCGAGTTTTCCAGAAGAGGAGGCCTAATTGTGCACGCGTTTGACGTTCAGTCTCTCCTAAACCCACTGGTAACAGATAAAATCAAGTTACATTTTTGACTTAGGAATGGCCAGTTGATAAATCCATATGGTTTTTCGGCAGATTAATCTTGTCAGTTTTCCTTCAGTCTTCCCCCATCAGTGGTGCATTAAGAAGGAAAATTTTATTTACATTTTGTGTTTCTACAGTAAATTTGACGGACGGCCAACATTTGCTTAAAAGACCTGCAGAATATGATTCGGATCAAACTTCTCATCACAGATGATAGAAGAATAAAAGCTGCCGATCATTGGTTTCACTGGGCCATTCTCTAGATATGCCATACAGCTGTCTCCAAGTATCAGACCTAAGGGTGATCCTATATATATACATATATATATATATATATATCATCTAGTTGTCTGTAAATCACCTCAATGAATGTGAATTTAAAATCTACAATATATGTGTGTAGTAGTTCTTCGAGTTATGGATTCGTTAATCCAGTGTTCGAGTTTTCCTGTGCTATGTTTTGTCCAGGGAACAAATCGTTTCATTGAATTAAACATTTGTGAAAGTGACTGAACAACAAGTGATGTTATCCGTACATCCAATTCTCTTATAAGGTCAACTAATTGATAGGTAGGTACCACGTGGATAGTATCTAAATAATAATAATAACAATAACAACTTTATTGCTAACAGTACTTTTGTTACAAATATGGAATTTTCAGCATGTTGTACACAGTACTGCATCTAATTTTCTCATTACAGGGGTTACAGTATTGTTCGGTATGAATATGAATATTAAATTAAATTTAGTGAAAACATTAACAATAATATAATACTGCAAAAATAGGGCCGTTTACTTAGAGTTCCGCAGTAATTTGATAATGTTCTGTCTTACACTTTTCTTATCACATAAAATGTGTCCTAGCTAAATAAGATATTGTAGAGCTTTTGTACTTAGTCATCCGATCATTTAGTCTTCTATAGTTGTTTCTAATTATGCCTGATGAGATTCAAGAAGATTGTTGTGTATAGAGAGGATGCTCAGAGTGTGACAAGATAATATTTACTACTTTCTTGCAGAAATCTAAGTGTCTATCTACAATGGTATTAACGAGCTGGTTTAGCAACACCCCACTCGCTCTGCTAAGGGCTTTTAGTGCCCTTTGCAGTGCGACACAGTCTTTCTTAAGTAGCCTGGGAAGGATTAAGGAGGAGCCATAGAGAAGGATAGGTAGAACACAAGAACTGACAAATTTAGAAAGTAGAGACGGAGTGATATCAGATCGTCTTAACTCCCTCACTTAGAATGCTAAAAAGAATATCTTTCTGGAAACTAATATGATGTAGGAAGACTAGAAAAGGTGATTAGAGGAAATAGACAGTCTAAGTTATGTAACATCCGATTTAGTTTCAAATTCTGTGACCTCTATGATAGAGGAACCATGCGAATTATCCAGTTCTTGTAAGTCGCACTTGCATCTGAAAGTGACATTAACAAGCTGACATCTGGAAAGATTTGGCTTAAGACCATTTGAGCTCAAGGAACACTGACTAATTTCTGATAAAACGTTATGCATTTTGGAACAGTCTGACTGAGAAGCAACAGGTATAGGAAATGTCAGATCATCGACATACTTGACAGAATTAGCTTTATTAGAATGCGGCTAGTCATGTAAGAAGAAAGAAAACAGAAAAGGAGAAAGAACAGCCCCCTGAGAAACACTAGCTATAGTAAGTAAAGCAGTGGAGGACTTCCCATTGTAAAGAGTGTACTGCTTTCTTTCAGATAAATAGGAATGCAACCGCTTATTAGTCAACCACTCTGTTTGTGTCGCAGCAAGCTTGTTTAACAACAGAAGCCTATGTACAGAGTCAAACGCAGATGTGTAATCTAGGAAGACACACCGAACATATTTGACATCTGTTTTTAAATTAGAGACAATAGTATGAAATCAGACGACAGTGGCATCTAAAGTACATCTACTATGCTCATAAGCAAATTGTTTAAGGTTATTAAAAACCTCCAATGAAGGTTCAAGATTACGTAAAAACAGTTTCGCCAACTATGTGAAGTAACGGCAGTAGGTATAAACTTAACACTTGGTCCACTTGATGATTTAAGCCCATGAACAGTTTTAATGTCTTTCCAAGAAGCAGGCTTAATGTTTTCTTGCAAACTCTAATAGCACTGTTAAACATTTTGTGGTGGAATTGTAGAGGGACACCGATGTGCCCAGAATTAGGCAGTGCAGAAAATAAGCACTGTTTTTCTCAAGCTGAGCATACAACTGTGGTGTTATCAAACCAGCTGGTCTAGTACTTACATAGACGTCCTCGTTGACTAGTTGATCATCATTCAATCTTAAGTTATCCGTTAGTTATCTTCTGATTGGTACGTTTCTTTTACTCATTGAGTGACACAGTGAACAAACTGCCGTCTAAGCGATATATAAAATTTTGTCAGTTTAGACTGTCACTCTTGAAGACTACACTGAGCCTTTTTCAAGCTTTTAATTCGTCTGAATTGTGTCAGTTATTACCTGTGGTCTTCACTTAAGTGACTTAAAGAATTCGAGCTTCTGTTCGAGGTCTAAGAGCTCTAAAAAAAACTTATTCGTCAACTGCGTTTCATCAGACAGTCGTTTGTGTGCCGTTAGTCTAAATGGATCTTTGCGTAATTCTATGAAGACCAAATCAAATTCGGAAGAAACAGGCTGGAGGATACCATGTTTTGTACGACCGGAAGATAGTTCATTTATCAGATCTTCACCCTTCAACATGTTCTGAAACAGTGTCATACTTGCTACAATTCTTTACCTAAAAACATCATTCTACTCTACCAATCGAGACGATTTGTAGTGATGTTTCGCTATGAAATGAGTTCAGAGAAAACATGGTAAGCTATTCAATGTGCTGTACACGAAATCTGTATAAAGGTACATGGAGAGTTGTCACTGAAGTGACGAAAATCAGCGGTACCCGCCAAGGGTATTCAGTGTCACCGGTTTTATCTAACTTCATTATAGATATGCAAATTAATTTGACTCGGAATATGCCCAGTGTCTCAGAGATTAAACCGCTGCAAGGTTCAAACGAATACTGGTTAACAGAAACGAATGCCGAAAATTGTCTTAGTAGACTCCATCAAACCCAGAGTAACACCTTAGAAGACTCACATAATGATGTTAGAACACGTATCCCAATAGAGCCAGCGAGGTATAATTATATACATACATTAACAACAATAACAGAAGTAATATTCAAAAAGTAACATGAAAATTATTCATGCGGTAATATAGACCGAGTTTTGTGCATCTATCATTAAAAACGGCGAAGTCTGAATTGCTGTCTGACTTACAGATAAATTGTCCGTATTCAAACAGTTTGAATTCTGATTACTAAACTATAGAGCTGGTCTACCGTTGCACATAACAAAAAGCCCTTATCACATTTAAGATGACTCTAGAGCAATAGTGAGCACTGTATCCTAGTTTAAAGGTAGAGAGTGAAATGTCTGTTACATTTTCAACAAATAGCAGGCTGTCGATGTAATCTCAACACGAATACAAGCTTCCTATTCAGAACTTATCAGCCTACACCTTCTGTGCTAGTGTGATATCCGGATACCCGCCGAAAAGTGTATATGCTGAGTAGCAGTCTGATCTGTTCTGATTTATACCTTAGAAACATGGTGGCTGCAAGTAGACGAACTGGATGTTCTCGGTTACAGATGTCTTTGTTCAGTTGCACATCTTACGTGTAGCAACACAGTAAGTTATAACGAAGTCTGACATAATATAAGGTGGCAGTAGCAGGTCAGTCGACGTATCAGTGAAGCTTCATCGACTGAGGTGACTATGACGTGTGTTCTGCATGCTGAACTACAGTATTTCCCACCAAAGATTTCAGTTGTTGTAAGTTTAACTTGAAAACAAGCTAGTTGAGATTACAGCAAAACATGACACCCATCTACAAATTCATTGACTATATGTATCATGCATATAGTTATAATTGTCTGGTTGAAGTTCTACGTATATATCGTTGGAGACTTTTAATGGTCTAAAGTCAGACACACTGACGCGGATGCATTGACTCCCTGTCGTAAGCTATACTCTTGACATTCGCGCTAGCCTCTATTTGATTATCGCCCACAAATATGTTTCCCCATCATAGTGTTATTACATTACGTTTCAGTGCACTTGTCAGTACTACACCAACTTGGATAGGTGCACTTCTCCGCAAAGTTCTAAGTCACATGATCAGTCGGCCAAGTCCCTAGTTTATTCAGCTGTATTCTTAATGGTAAATATTTTTCCTAATTACGTAATATTACTTATAGCGATTAGACCAACTGTTAACAGTCTGTTGAAGTTTTTGCAGCCGATTCTTTGCGACACAATGAATGTTATCGGTGAAAGAGTCACTAATTAATAACACGACAGCATCCTTCTATTAACCGAACCGTAAAACCTGCAAGTTATTACTTTATTATTTCAACACTAGGGTTCCATTCACAATATTTAAACTCAGCTCCCGACTATGTGCCACACTAATTGTGATGAAGCTATTCAGTCTGAAGAAGATGGAGCAGCGTTTGAGTCCACGGGGCACTGAATAAAAGTCAACTGCTAAAACCTATGAGCCACTTATATGCTTACACTACATCCACCTACGGATTCTAACAGCAAACCGAAGTATTCATATCACAGTGTGTTAATTACTCAATACTAAAGATAGACACTATTAATGGGACGCGAAAAGTACTGCTGATCGATATAAGTACTTGGAAATTACTTACAACAATCATTACTAGTGCTCATTAACCAGATACGCATGACTTAAACACTGCTTCTCACGCCAAACTGTATTGCCTTACCCAAAGCTTACTAACAGGGTTTCCTACTATAACTGATGATATTTCTAAATGTAGCGGACTGAATTATGTGGAAGACTGTGGGTGGCGGGAAGGCAAGAGTACACCGGACGGATGAAAATAATCTAGAAGATCTGGACTTCGCAGACAATTTATGTCGAATGTCGCACAAACTCGAAGATTTACAGGCGAAAGCCAAAACGTCGGTAGAAGAAACGGCAAAGACAGGACTTTAGGTAAGCATAGAGAAAACGGAAGTGATGAAGATAACCAACCAACAACAACAATCACTATCAACGGGAGAAATGCGGAACAGGTCATCTCCTTCACTTATCTAAGCAGCATCTTTTCAACCACAGGAGGGACAGATGAGGATGTAGAAACCAGAGTCGGAAAGGCAAAATAGACCTTCATCACTCTGAAATCAGTTTAGAGGTCTTCTGCACTCCACCGTAGCATAAACAACAATATCCGGATTTTCATCGCCAATGTTAAGTCAGTCATTACTTGAAATAATGGAGATTTGTAGCTCGGTGGATGATTCACATGTAGTCGTGTTCTCTAAGATGGTTTTAGATTGAATTGAGCTTTTTTTGTCTACCTTCTAGACAAAATCTCCAGAGTAGATCTTATGAAATGGACTTATTCGAATTCCCCATGATTGATGTAATTGTTTTTTTAAATCATGGAAAATTCCCATTGTGACATAGAAAATCAAAACAAATGATTCAGCGAAGAGACTCTTTTCAACGAATTTATCATCAAGCTGTACAATCGTATATATATGGTTTTTAAATTCTATGCTATTAAATTTCGCACAATATTACGTAACGTTTTATTCGATTTGTCTACTCATCTTATAATTGCACACCCTTTTTCAAGTTCTATCCATCCTCTGAATTATTCTATATTTGACACTAATTTGCTTTGCCACTTGACATTTAACTACGATTATAATCACAAACATTTTAGTTTTAATTGCATTTCATATTATTATTTTATGCATTCACACCTGTTTCAATTCCCTCACCGGATATAACTTCTTAAAAACCATATATAAACGATTGTACAGCTTGATGATAAATTCGTTGAAAAGAGCCTCTTCGCTGAATCATTTGTTTTGATTTTCTATATGATGTAATTGTATCTCCTGACAACTATTATCGTGCTGGGTTTTTAATTTACGTCTCTGTTGATCATTTTTATTGACTTAGAATCTAAACTTTATTGTCATGTGATTTACTTTTAAGCTACGCAATTAAATCAGGGAACACAACTAAATCAAAATCAGTCACTGCTTTTATATGGGTCAGAAACTTGGAGTGCCAGTCACGAAAAATATTTCCAACCGGATACTGCAGATTTCTATCAGCAGCTGCCTTCGTAGCAAAGATCAGATGGCCAAAGAGGATTAGCAACAAGAAACTTTTGGGACGAAACAACCAATAACCTGCTGCTCAATAAATATCCCGAAGAAAAAGGAGATGGACACACAGTGACATCGCACGCCAGGCCATAGCTCAAGTGGAACCGGGATGGGAAACGACGAGTTAGACGTGGAAGGGATCGTTTGAGGAGGAGACGAGAGGCTATCAGCAATTGAGAGGCCATCTGAAGAGGACTGCAGAGAACAGGCCGAAATGAAGATGTTCTGTTGAAGCCCTGTGTTCCACTCAGAACCCAACGTGACAATAATAATAGTAATAACAGCTTACTGTATTCTACGTATCACTATTTGAATTATGTAGTTAGCTAGAATTCCAGTAGTTCGGACTGATTCAACTTTCTAAACTGAATCAATCCCCCGTAAATCGCATACAAGCTCAGCTGAGAACCAGTCAAACGGCAGGCTGTCCTATGTTTCCATCACCTACCTAGCGAACGTGCTGTCGAAATCCAGTCACACTAACCAGCAGGCTGGAGACAATAGGTGATATGGCTCAAAATCATTATCAGTGGCGCAGATGCATCCACTTCTTGTGACTTATACTTTCCAATGAAACTATATTGTTCTTCGTTATTACTTTTCCCTGTCTTATATCCCTATCTACTGTCTCTATTTTGATTTCTTCTACTTTCTTCTCTTGCTCTGAGTGCTACATGGAGTGTGGCAACTTGAACTGCTGCACATAGGTGCAAAGTTCTATGTTGAAAACAGACAGAATCAGCAGGCTACTGCATGCATATACATCATGTACCATAGACAGAGTAAGTAGTTGGAGAAAAGACAAAATTATAAGTACTAAAAAAGTTTATTTTTCGTTATTCAATAAAACGAAGGCTTGAATATTATTAATATTAACAATATAACATTATACTACTGATATTCGCAGTAAAAATCACAGAAAAATCGGAAATCTTTAGTATACTGTAAGCATGTATGTAAATGTGTGCGTGCAGTTAGGTAAATAGGTCACAGAACATAAACCTGTCCGTTATTATTATCATTATTATTTGTATACATTCACAATTTACTGCATATATGTGTAGTTTACATGAGTACGACTCATTCAAAAATAGCTTTTATCATCTACAAACACCCGACCACCCACCTCCAACAAACAACCAATCAAATTTGTAGTTATTTTTTGAGATAGACTATAGTCTATGATTACACAAACAGTAATATAGTAATTTGTACTAATAATTAAAATCATAGTTTAAAAAATACAATGGTTATCATCTCTGAAAAATCAATACATAAAATAAGCAATCAGAAACTGGACAGAACATACAGAGACAGAGGAAATGAGAGCACGAAGATGAAATAACAAATCGCACTGAAATGGTTAGTTAGAATCATCGATTTTTTGAAGGAAAAAGTTGGAAGTATTACTTAACAATAATTAGGAAGGACCCTGCCAAATCATTAACATTATTATTAGTATTATTATCGTGAAACAATGGGAATATATTAAACACTATGCTAACAGTAGAAGAAATAATATTAGTGAGATATGCATAGTGTGATGACGAAATAGGCGATGAGAATATTATATAAATGAGGGAGATAAGTGTTTCAGATATGTTTCTGTGTAACTGATGTGTGACACTGTGTATACTTGTGTGTGTATGTGCGTGTATGTGTGATTGGTAAGAGTTAACTATAATACAAAGTAGACGCCAGATGGTGACAAGAAGTGATCCCTTTCTTTTATTAAAAAAAAAGCTGATATACAATGATTTTGATTGGTTGTTGTTCTCAACACGGGATTGTATTGTTATACACGCATAGATATATACTATTAATAAAATGTGGGGAAGATGTTTGTGTTCATTCCAAAAATCGAATACTCATCTTCTGTTCAATATCCACATTGTCAAAGGCCTGTTAAATTATTGAAATGTTTAAAACCGACGATAAAAAAATAAGCATATGAATGTCAAAGGGAATCATGTATTACTGCATTTCAAAAAGGCAGTTCAGTTAGCTATTACTCAATTACTCAGCACACTTCTACGTTGTAGGGGCTAATCATACACACAGGGTTTCAACTTTCAACTCCGAAGTTTCAGTAGCGGTACTTTTTTGTTTTGTTTTTAACGAGGTCGCTAGCCTCTATAATCCAACCTTCCCAGTCGCCAAGATGGAGCGGTACTCGGACCCGGGATCACACTAGTTCATATGCATACATTCATGCGAACTACGTGTCGTGTGAAAAACAAAACGATTGAAAGAAACAGTTTAGTACAAAAATATATCGCTGCCGTCTGTATCTAAGAATTCCTGGTAGAACACTCAACTGCCACGCATGCCGTCCACATTGGACATCAAGTTGAAGCACTCTTTAACCCCGCGCTAGTTTATTAACCGTTGGTACGCCCAGAAAAGATAGAGATGCCAACAACCACACTCCACAGGAAAAACAACAATACCACCCTATGTTCTACTCGAAATGCAAGGTATGAAATAAACACCAATCTGAGAACACCAATAAAAAAATAATAATAATAAAAAGTGATTCAGAGAAAACACTCTTTGTTCGGTGAATTTATCATCAAGCTCTACACAATCAAATACACATGTAGGACTTTCAAAAATATCAATGTGAATTGCGACAAAATATGTGATTATAGTTTGAAGCTTCAGTCATCGAAACACAGAAGCCAGAGGTCTGCATACAGAGATTTGTCCTTGTGCTCTTAATCCGTCTATGGAAAGTAATTAAAATGCCTGTCTCTAGTATAGCCGTATATTTATTCATTATTTTATTTAATTACTGTACATGTTCATTCTTGTTACTCCCATTGTTAATATTATTTTCAAGTTGAACGGTTTCCAGTAACTACCTCACTTGTCACTCCTCTTATGATCAAGTGGAAAATAGAACTTTAAGTTCAAGTTCTGAATTCTCAGTAGTAGAATTGTTTTTTTCGACTGCGTGGGGTCACTAGCCTCAAACCCAACCTGCCCTTTTTACCCACCTAACCACCGGCTCTAGGTGGGATGGCTAACTTACAATGGATATATTAATACAATAGAGGAAACCACTTGTATATATTACTAGTATAGGAAACTAAACATACCTGTACGAATTCTTCATAGGATATATAGCCATCTCCGTCGAGGTCTGCTTCCGCCATTGTTCGTTCGCCGATATTGTTAATCTGAAAATCACAAGTAAGACTTCATTGATCACATCGGTCATTATGTTATTTTTATTTCAACTGATTAACTTCTTATGAAGTTAAGCCATATCGATTGAGATGGATAGGACGCCTAGCCACCATCTTACTCGATGAGCACAATGTTAGCTGATATAGGACCAATGAGGTTGGAAAAGAGCTAGTGGTGGTTAAATCAACATATGGAATCAGTCCATGAAATCTTTAACAGTTAGTAGTTAGGGAGGTGTAGACTATCTGACTGGTTGGGGTTGTCAGCATCCTAAGAACCAATGACTGGAGACAATCGGTGATACGGCTCGAGATAGTTCTGAATGACAACGATGCATTCACTCTTTATAGTCTGCCATATCCTATAAAACCCGACTGTTTTTCCATGTTACTACTGTTCTTTCTCCCTCATATTCCTGGTTATTACTGCTGCTTCGAAACTCTTTGTTTTCTCCCTTTCGTCTACCTTTGTGCTATATGGAGTGTGGCAACTCGAACTGGTGCAAGTTTGTGAAAAGTCTTTTGTTGAAACCAGTCAATCATTCAGTCAGTCAAAAGACTGACTCAATCAATCCCTACTGATAAAGTCTGCATACTTTTCGATAGCCACTGAAGTCTGGAGGTTTAAAGCTAACCCTTTTATTCAGAATGAATGTATAACCAGTCCTTACCTGAGTTGAAAACAATGTAAGCAATGTAATTTCTATTTCTTTTACCTTATTTCTTAATGTACTACTTATTTTTATTGTGTTTTAGCTGTTGCTACCTACAGTCTACTGAAGCTAACGATATCTGACCATTCTAATAATTAACTATAATACTTTGTCACTTATATGTAGTAACCTTTTACTGAATACTTAAAAAAAAATTCCTGTAGTTTATTCTAGAGAAATGGATCGATCAGATCTAGGTGACACGTACGAGGCAAGTTTCATGGAAATGTTACTTAGCCTTGGTCAGATGTAACTATTTCTCAGTCTAGTCAGTGAGCTTATCTTCATCACTGAACAAGAAAAGAAGTATTCTTCGAATAAAATGGCGTAATTTCAAGACTAAAAAACCCGTCATTTTTAAGACATTCTTCTTGCTTCATTTATTTTACTATTCATTTCGCCCTCCGATGATAATTATTATGTTACAAAACTGCATCTTCAACAAACAATCAGGAAGTTGGTAAATCAAGTGTTCAGCGATATAACGAACAACTAATATGATTGAATACACTACAGCAACTGAATTAATAGTGGACTCCTCTCCGCTACTACAAATCTCAATGCAATAAATGATACAAGATAATGAATTATAATGCTTCATTTTTAAAACATAGTGTAGAATGAAGTCGAAATATTCTATTTTGACCCATCACCATTGATTATATGCACACACACTTCAGTAAAGATTGTGAAATACATTCCCTGAACAATTATAGATGGTACAACTACACAATATAACCGATATTTAAGAGTTAGTCTGCAGGGATTTGATTTGTTTCAAGTTCGTCCACGGACTGGCATGAGTTAGAGAACCACTGGACAACCAGGGAGTACTGGATAGATTTTTCGTTCTAGTGCGGGACTCATTTTAAGTATGCACCCACCGGGTTTCATACCCAGGACCTTCCGGTTACACGGTAACATCGTGGACCTTTCAGCCACTGAGAATCGATCCAGTGGCCGGTGAGTTCACGAAATGATAGAAGTTAGAATTCGTGAACTAGCCATCGACCAATGGGTGATGATGAGTCCCAAACAAGGACGCAACAGCTGTCTAGTAACTTTTGCTGGTATCCAATAGTTCTACAACTGATATGAATGCGTGATCAAACTTTAAACAACGTAAATGAACAATGAATGAGTGACAGAATCTTAATCATTAAATAAACAGAATAGAACCAGACCTTGATCCGCCATATCACTTCAAAAGATGATTGAATCGACCATCACCTGCAACTCGTCCAGAAATGCCACCACCCCAACCACCAACAGCACGCACAGAACTGACTGCCAGTGGACACCAATCCTCAAACCAATGAAAGCAGAAATCCTTATCGCGATCAAGCTACTGAACACTGGCCGAGAAGGCAGCAGAGTCAGACAGAATTCCACGGACACAAAGACTGCAGCAGATATGCTCACGCCAGCATTGCAGGTTTGAAAGGAAAGAAGGAAAAGTGTCTATCGATTCCAAGAAAGGCTAGCTACTTTGTCAACCTACCTAATTAGGACAACTTACTCCTCACTCTACAAGAACTAGCGTCGAATAATGCTCTTGTCCACATCAAGTAAAGTACTCAGTCGCATCATACTAGAGGGAATAAAAGATGCACTGAATGCAGAACTCCACTCACCCACCGGAAAAGGCTGGCGGGATCCAGAAAAGGCAAATCATGTGCTGATCAAAATGCGGCTCAACGTATCGCCATCATCATCACAGAAAAAAGCATAGAATGCCAGTGAAACCTATCTCTATCTCAATTTCATCGACTTCGAAAAGGCCTTCGACAGACGGCGTTGGCCACGAAGTAATTTGGAACCTACTTCAACACTACGGTATGCATTGGCCAAGTCCTTATCAACTTTATTCAACAGCTGGTTATATGACAATGTCTGCCACGTGTCAGGTGATCCACAACGGAAAACTCATTGAGGCGTTCAAAGTGAATGAAGACAGGAGTAAGAGAAGTTGGCCGCCTTCTATCACTCACGATGACATTCTCAATTGTGGTGTACTGGATTATGAGTCAGACTGTGAGGAGACAGGAGTATGCTGGACCACCGATAAGAAGATTCCAGAAGATCTGGAGTTCACCGACAACTTACATTTAATGTCACACAAACTCAACAGTTTGCAGGCGAAAACCAACAAACTGGTAGACGGGGCTAATGGCGAAGATAGGACTCCATCCAGGTGAACATAGAGAAGGTGCAGACGGAGGTGATGTAGATAACCAACCAACCAACACCACCAACAACCAGTCACCATCAACGGAAGAGATTTAACACAGGTTAATTCCATTACTTATCTAGGAATCACGGTTCCAACCACAGCCAGCGGAACGGATGAAAAAGTCAAAGTCAACCAGCCAGACAGCCACAATCGGAAAGGCAATATACACCTTCATCAACCTGAAACCAGTTGGGAAATCTTCTGCACTGCACTCCACATCAGCACAAACAACAACATTCGAGTTTTCAACACAAATATGAAGTCAGTTAGTCAGTCAGACACTTCTTCTATACAGGTCAGAAAATTGGCCAGTGTTTCAGTCACAAAAAGGATTTCCAACAAGTTACCGTAGACTTTTATCAACAGCTGATCACTTCGCTAGCTTCACATTGAAGACCGAATGACCAGCCGGTCAGAAAGAATTAGTAACAAGAAACTCTGGCTGGCTGGCTGGCAACAAACCAAACAAGAGCCGATCGCTCAACAAATATGTAGGCGGAAATGGAGATGGATTGGGCATGAGTTGAGGAGGCCGTCGAATGACATCACGCTCAATGCAGGCCGTTGCTCGAGCGGAATCCCAATGGGAAGTGACGAGTGGGTCGTCGGTGTGAGGGTGACATGGAAGAGATCGTCTGAGAGATTATGGGCAATCTTGGACTTAGCTGAAGGGGACAGCACTAAATAGGACGAAGTATAGATGTGTTGTTGAAGTCCTATATTCCACTCAGAACGCAAGGGAATAACAATAACTCCGCCAGTCAAACTACATCGCCGATAGTGACATAATACAAAACGGTTAACTGCTAATCGTACCGGTGTGTGCATACGTCAATCACAAGTTATATCCATCAACCAGCAATCATACATAGTCATACTTTCAGCAAACACTACATAAGAGAGGAGGACAAAAGTAAAATTAAAAACAACAACATCTTTAAAAAAAGGAAACACGCCTAAAACTTAACAAACCTGTTCAACAGTGATATTAGCACCGACCATCATTTGTAGCATACCCAATAATTCATTACTTGATATTCGACCATCCATATCCAAATCATACATACCGAATAAGAAGCGTAGTTTAGCATCACGATTATTAAACTCTGTGGATTGTTGTGATCTAACCTTACGAAATCTTGCTAATTTACGTACAAATTGACGAAAATTCAATTCTTCTTGACTAAAACAACCAACGTAAACACAAACAAATAAGTAAACATATCATGAATAATATTCAACTGATGATTGAAAAAAGTGGAACAGAGGAGGGAGGAGGGTGGGTGGTGGTTGTGTGTCCTTTCTCCGAAACAACAACAATGAATATAATCATTTTCAACTCTTTGTGTATTTAAAATTTAAATCAGGTATACGTCTATATATATATATATATATGGTATATTGTTTTGTTTTCCGATTGAGCAAGCGAACATGTGTATATATGCATGCATGCATGTGTCATATTTATCAGTGAACAATTTTCTTATTTGCATAAAATCTAATCAGAAGTCTTTCTTTTCTCTTTCTGTGTTAACTTTTACAGTGTGGTGAAATTCACCGCACAATGTTAAATAAGTCATTAAAATACAGTGTAAATCTATCACTCTATTATTATGATGATAAGATGAAAAATTTTTTGTAAGAAAAAAAAAAGAACAGATATTATCTAAATATGATTTTTTAACCAATATCAATAACCAGTAGTGAAAATCCTTAATCGTCAGTTAGAACAGACAAACAACCCTAACCACAGGATGCAAGTCAAGCACTTTTCGTATAAGTTTTCAACGGAAAGGATTGGTAGAAGATTTCCGCTACTTCTGGAATATTTTTAAGGATTCTGATTATACATAATAGTGTAGATGTCTGAGCTAAAACGGAAGTAGAACAAAACCGCCTGTGTATCCAGAACTTTAATGAGGTATATTTTAATCCTTTGCGTTACGAGTAAAACATAGGCCTTCAAGAATTCAGCTTTGAAGTTTTATTAGCAGTGGGTTTTATTCTCACGGGATGGAGTTGGTAGCCTGAAGCCCAACCTTCCCTTGTTACCAGGATTACTACCAGCGTAGCAAGGTTCAGGAGTGTGTCAGCCGGAAATCGAATTCCGGACCACATGCTTGGTTGGCAAGAATTCTACCGCTGAACCACCGACACAATCGCAACACACATAGAGGAAAGAAATAACCAGACACTTATTTGAGCAAGTTACTATCACGTCCTGATACGTTTTTAGCCATACAATAGCTCTCAAAATGTAGTCGAAGTTGCAAAGTTACTTTCAATCGAACACGAATCAGAAAGACTCTGGGGATTTTTAACCATGACGATAGTGTATGACTGCCTCGATTAAATAAGGCGTTAACTAGTGTGAAAGGAATCCGATGTAGATATTCGATTATCCCAGCTTATAAAAAAGGGGACAGATCGTCCTGTCATAATCGCAGTACGATAGATATGAATGTTTAAATAAAAGTGACGAGTATAAATTATAAACTGAAAGGTTGATTTGTGTACGGTAGGACATTTGCTAGGCAGTTCCCAATAGTTAACTCAAATGATGTTTGTCGGTATCAAAATCAACGCTGAAATCAAGCAAATTTCCACAAAAACAAAACAACTCAGACTCAGAGAACAATATAAGGATAAATTAAGATTTTAAAAGCTGTAAGGAACTCTGGCAACTAACCAATAAAGAACTTATCGCTTTACAAATAAGCGAACGAAAATAGATAAGGATCGGACACACGCTGAGGAGAGATTTGGATGTTATTGTACACCGGGCCATCGCTCGAATGGGACCACCCAAAACCCAACCGATAGCTGCTATCTTGACGTGGTAGTCGGGATTGCACATTGCAATGACCGAACAAGCTACACTGACTGGAACTATTGTTCCTGCAGGTCCTACCATGACAGGAAGGTTGTTAGGATAGCGATTAGACTAAAAGCAGTTACTGGCATAGTGTAACAATTCTCTTACACTATGCTGGGAGTTTGCGGGCGAAGTCGTACTGCTGGGAAACAGGAATGTAACAGCAGTAAGATGTTTCCCTCAGGTAACCAGCATGCCAGCTATGCTGTCTTTCCACTCTGGACAGAGGGGGTTAGAAAAGGTCGATCCCAACAATTGTACATCCCGACTTACTCTACAGTGGTCCGTAACCGGTGGTAAGTTTACTAATACGGAACCAATCCCAGAAACTAGTTCACACAGGCTGTGTGACCGGCCTCAAGCAGTTGTCTCATGGGTTCCGCGGTCACGCATCTCTAACCCTCTTTATGTTTCAAGTACCCGAAGAATCAACCAACTTCCACGGTGAGGGCAGCCGGGAAGTAACAACCGCCCACACACTTCCAAAAGCACACTGAGCCTTCCCGAGCATCACTCTCCTTTACTCACATCACCTTCATCATCTTTACTTCACTCTGTAACCACATACAACGATGAGTTATAGAAACACACCCGACAGCCTCTTAAACCCACGTCGCCAACTTCATATAGGAGCATCTAACGTCAGGACCCGCTGTCAAATCAGACAACAGGCATCACTAGCAAGAACTCTGGCATCTCGAGCCATGGGTGTAAGTTGTGTTTCGAAGACACGCAAACAAGACCCGAGTGTGATAATTCATTTAACCCAACCCCACCCGGTCAACAAGGTGAATCCGAAAAATTCACTTTAAGAGTGTCAGCTAGTTCGCGAGGACCCGCAGGTGTAGGGATAGCTTTGAGTGTAAGGATAGAAAAATCACTTCTTGGCTGGATCCCAGTAGATAGTCGTATGTGTGCGGTCCGTCTGAACGGGTCCCCTAGGAGAAGGAAGGATAGCGCTACCCGTCGTTTATGCTTACGACTAAACGGACACAAGAAATTGCTGGCAGCGAAAAAGTTACGTCCCCAACTAGATCGAGACACTGAGTCCCCATTTAGGGAGGAAATAGAGAAACGTGAACCTGAGGTCGACAGCAGGACTTCCCTTGAGGTAACCTGGCAAAACATACAGTTAGCTATAGACACAACTGTAAAAGCTTTTAATAACCTGAGACCCAAAGTTAGTAAGAGCCATTGGATTTCTACCACCTCATCCGAACTGATTGACTCAAGAAGACTGATTCCGGCGAGTTCCAAATATGATGAAGAGCGAAAGCTGCTCAAATGCAATCTAACAAGAAGCCTTCGTAACGACCGTGAACAGTGGTGGGTGAAAAAAGACCAAAGAAATGGAAAAGGTATTGGCGATAGGTAAAACCAGACAACTATTTAAACTTATCAAGGAAACAGGTGGTAAAAGGCAAACGATAAGTGAAACAATCTCTGAGAAAAATGGCACCATAATTAGCTTCCAGGATAGACGACTGGAACGTTGGAAAGAACACTTTGAGGAGCATTTTAATTAGCCTAAAGCCACGCTCAACTTACCCAGCATCCAACACCTCCCTGAATGGGATATAGACACAGGTCCTCCGTCTCTAACTGATGTTACTAAGGCTGTCACTAGTCCGAAACGAGGCAAGCTGCGGGACCTGATAGAATGACCCCAGAGGTATTTAGGTACGGTGGAGACAGTTTACTGTCTGTGTTAACTAAGGTATTAGGCAGCGTCTGGGAATCAGAGGAAGTCCCGTCGGGTTGGAGTAAGTCTTTGATATACAAGAAGGGAAAAAAGCTTTCCTGTGACAATCACAGGGGGATTAGCTTGACTAATATGGTATCTAAAGTTCTAGGCTCAACAATCATGCGTAGACTAAGCGGTCCACGGGAGGAACAAACACGAGAGAACCAGGCAGGCTTTAGATCAGGAAGAGGGTGTATTGATCATATCTTCACTTTATGACAGATTCTGGAACACAGGTGGCATACCTTCCGGCGTCCAACAATCGTTATATTTCTTAACCTAAGGGCGGCATTCAATTCTGTCGATCGAAAGGTACTATGATGTTTGGCTGTGAAGGGAATGCCGAGAAAATACATTGCACTGATCAAGGCACTATACTCGAACTCATGCAGTCAGCCAAGTGAGAGCCTACAGAAAGTTGTCATCTGGAGTGGTGACAACTAGTGGTGTCCATCAAGGATGCTCACTATCCCCATTTCTATTCAATTTCATCATAGATGTACTGATGGAATCAACCCTAACCGCTGACTTCAGCGACTCAGGGATTAACTTGTTACCAGGGTATAATCTCGTTGATTTAGAATATGCACATAATATAGTCCTTATAGGTGAAGACGCTGACAAAATGCAGAGTCTTCTGAACACCTTGAGCTGCAATCTGCGGATGTTTGGCGTCCAAATTGCTCGCGCCAAATGTAAGATGATGCTACAGGATTGGAATACATTGACTCCTAGCTTAGAAATAGGGAATGAAATGGTGGCTGAGCGTGTTGACCACCTCACTTATTTGGGAAGTTGCATCAGCCCCAACGCGTTAATCGCTGACGAAATCTCAGCACGGATACAGAAGGCTCGTTTCGCATATGCCAGTTTACGCTGTCTCTGGTTCAGACGGGATATCCGACCGGCTGTCAGCCAAAGGGCGTGTGTACTGCTCAGCAGTCCGCTCCATCCTCCTTTAGGGCTGTGAGACATGGCCATTGAGAGTGGAAGACATGAAAAGGCTGACTAGCTGTCTTTGATCATAGGTGTCTGAGTTCTATCTCCCGCGTGAAGTGGTAGAATAGGGTGAACAATAGTGAGGTTGGGCATCGGTCGAGTGCTAGGTGAGGAGGGGAAATCAATAGACGAGGCTGTGAAGCTACATCGACTGAGATGGTTAGGGCATGTGTTACGTATGCCTAGTCATCGCCTTCCTCGACAATGGGCAATGTTAGCTGACATAGGGTCAGGCTAGAAAAGAGCTAGCGGTATACGTGAATATCCGTTAAAGTTGTTAGACTGCAGCAAAATAAAGTCAAAAAGGGTGAGTAAGGAAATAAACATGCCGCTACAAAAGAAACAACAGATGGTAAATGTATACAGACATTTAAAAGTTCGCATTATCATTCTGCAGTTGACAAAGGAAGCCAATTGCTTTAGTTGTACATTAATAGAAGGGTAAACACACAGTCTATCCTATATTTGAAACTATACTTTACCTTAAAATTATGAGAAAGTATGTTATCCACCTGTCCTGTTGCAATCAATTACATCCATTAATATTGGACATTGCCTAACAGTCAACATTAAAACCATTGCAATTTCTTAAAGCATGGAGTTTTTTGTTTTACTCTTTCATACTGCGTAGTTGTTAGTGCATATATAGTCTGGTCAAAAGCCAAGCTCCTATCACTTTACTTCCATAGATTGAAGTTTAAAGGTTCAAAAAAAGCACTCCGCCTCCACTGTATCTATTCTATAAACACTTTTCGCTTTGATTCTGCTTATTACCGCCTCGTCTCTGTACACTTTCAAAATTTAGACAAATAAATTTGCACAATATTATTACTGTTACAAAACTGAGGAAAAAATAGCAAGCAGGATAATGTGACCTTGGTTTTACATATTTTTTCACGGCCATTCTCTCCTCTCAGAGTTTCTGTCACATTAGGAGTAAATAAACACTGATTGTTCAATTAGTAACTATTTCGTACTCATACCTTTTGTCCTATTACCCTGCTAATACTAATCAAGGCAGTAGGGTGTGTGAAAACCGAAAGTGAAAATTATCAACAGACTTACCTATCTTTAAAAAATTCATTAACAATACGATCACCAAGAGGATTAATGGCTAATTCAGGAATCAACAAAAAATCATGACGTCTGAAACATACACAGAGAGGAAAGAAAAAACAAAGACTAATTATTTTATCCAAGAAAAATGTTTTTCTTGATAAAAGTGATTTCTTTTTGGTGATTTTGTGTTTTCCCAATTAAATGACTTCTTTGAGAAGCTTTCATTGTTCTTCTAGATAATATCAACGGCGATAAATTCATATAGAATTTACTTGGTTAGAACTAAGCTGAGCGAAACAAAGTTCTCATGTACTAGGCTATGAGCCAAACTTATTGTGACGGCTGATGATACTTATCTTACTCAGTAGGGCAGGCCGAGGTAGGTGAAGCAAGACTCGAACTAAGGGCTGAAAGCTGAGTGCTTAAGTAAGTCACATTTTCACCCATAGTAAAGCAAGGCTAGACAAATTTGTGGTTATCTCCACAATAAAGGTTACTAAGAAAGATGATCATTTTAATCGTGAGGAACTATAAAAGCTCCCTCCACTGTGAAGTTATCGCTGAAAATGTTGTCTGAAGAGATGGTGAAAGCTTCGCAAGTACACCATCCAATTCTGAGGACACAACAATACCTGAATTAAACACTTTTCTTTCGTCATTTCAAAATACAAATAAATAAGCTTATAATTAATTTCTCCTGGGTAGTAAATTGGAATATATCACGTACATAAACGCATACTACAAGGAATGAGTGAACCCTTACTAAGTTTGTTGTTATCAAACTCCATTACATTATCCTCACTTAAAAAAAAAGGTTGGATTGTTGAGTTGGAAAGTGCTGCATAATTTGTGAAGGCTTTCCAAAATGTACGCTGTTCTCCTTTCGTCAATAAAGATCATCGCATCTATAGTGACAAGTTTTTCTGAAAACTATGGGAATGATATTGTAGAAGCACAAATACACATAGGGGAAACTGTGATAATACTGAAAGTAGCAACCACAACTAGCAACAACTGACAACAACCAGAAAGACTAACGTATACACCGTACTTATGGAAGTATCTAGGAATAAGCTACCTGATAACCACATACAACTTGCAAGTTGTTAATCTTCCACTGTACCTGAAAGAGAAGAATTAGTTTTGCGTGATCGCAGACCCTAGGCGACAACCGTTTGAGGCTTTAGAATTGAGGTATCCATAAAAGTCTTTAAGTGAATACAAGTGTTAGTAGTTACACTGATTATATTCTAATTTGAATGCACCACACTATTACACTACTGCACATATATACGTGTGCAGAATAGCTTCATTTCCATGCGAAGTTTGTGGCTGAAACTGTATTATACTTTGTCTCTAATCATCAGTTCTCGACTTTTTTCTACACCGCATACTCATACTACATTTCGTAAACTAAAGCAAATACCGGGCAATATCATTATTTGCTAATTACATAAAATGAAAACACAATACGTGACCCACTGCACACTGTAAATGGCATCAAAAAATTAGGTGCAATGTAAAAGATACGTAGGCAGCCATCTACACTAACCAGTAGTGCTTGCTGGTCACATTAAGGTAGTCTAAACACCGAACGGCTGATCAGCTGCATTAGAAACAAGTGAGACTTTAGATGAGTTCGAGAACGCATTTTCGGAAAACTCATTTTCAAAGTCAAATGTAGTCAGCTCCGCATTGGGATGTGAAATAATGGATACATATAGTGGTTTACATAGGCGGCAGTAGTATAGTGTAGTAATCAAGTCATTTTCCGTCTTAAGTCTGTCATTGAAATCACCTGCACAGAAAGATTTTGATACACTTAGACAGGTATAAGGCTAGAACTTGGACAATGCGTTCGAGCATAGTTCCATCATAGAGCGAATTTATTTGATAAGGTCACAATATTACACAGAATTATTTAATCATGACGTTTTGAACACAATTTATTGATCATAATCATATCAAGGTACTCACACAACTTTCCAACTAATGTATATAAACGATGTTATGAACAATAAATTGGGCTTGAAACGTTATTGGTAAAATATTACTAACATTGTGTGACTTTATCAAATAAATTCACTCTTTGATGGGCTTAGAAAAATAACTGTTGAATACACCAGCCTTTAGTTGGAATTTCAGATTTATTATTATTGTTCCTCAGCACTGTCACCTGGGAAGGAGAGATTCACACTGCTTTTATCAATCAACCTTTAAGAATATCGACTTTTCGGAGATTTCCGTCCTCTTTATCGATCATATTCTTGGGGTGCATCTTTGAAACTCCAGGGAATAGTAAGTGGATGGATTTCCCTTAGTGGTATCCAAAAGACAGAGTAAGACAACTGTTGTGTAGATGTGGGTTCAGCAATGAACTACTATTTTCCCTTTTAACATACCATCTAAGAAAATGTCAAATTCAACTTGGAAGTAAAACTTATGGAAGGTAAGCCTGGTCAACCTTTCTGAGGAATTTAATGATGGTACAGTTTTTTTGGCTTTACTTTTCGCTGTTGCAAAAGTGTTTTCAATTGAAAATCGATTGTTTGGCATAGTGAAGTGAGTGATGCGGTTATACGACTGCATTTTTCACTTAATTCTCTAATCAATGGTTGTTAACTCCTTGAAAATTACGTATTCTGAACTTCTATATTGAGCTAAAGTCAACAATAACAGCTAATGCGTCAGTAATGGGCGAGGTTTCGATCAGCCACTCTGGTTTTAAAACCCGATCCTATTTAAATCACAATCGTATATATGGTAGTATTCAAACTCACTATTACCCAAATGCTTTTTTAGACACTACGGCAAAAACTGGACTTTATTGTAGCTTAGTAAACCTAATTATAAGGATAATAAAACATAAACATGGGGAAAAGAAAGTTGTCAAAGACTAACAGAAACGGAGTAATACTTATTAGGAAAAATTTAAGGACGGGGTGATACTTCATAATACTTCTACATTAATTCTGGTCATTTTTGTACACATAAACTTAATGGAGAAAAGTAAAGCTTTCCTGAATCTAAAAAATGACAAGGAACGAGCGCATCTATATCTACTAATGGTAAGCATTTATAGCAGTAGTCTACACTTGACCGTTACGCAATGTCGACACTTGTTCTACTTCTCAGGCACTTCAAATCTTCTCAGGATAAATACCACCAAATATGCCACCCTTTTGGGTTTTTTAAGTATTTCAGGGACCTTAAAATTATGCCCAAATCAAAGACGTTGAGGGTGTAGGAAGCTAGATTGCTTTCTAACACATAACAAAAATCCTTCAGACACATATCTGAGTGCCCTTTTCCTTCAAAACAAATAAGCACCCTCAAGTGTCTTTTCTTCGTTTATTCGGATAGGAAAGAATATATCTACTCTAAACGTCCGCGAATCATTTACAGTATTTGGAGATGAGGACTAAAACTTCAATGACAGGAAATGCAAGCCACTAGGAACAAAAATGTGAAACATATTACCCAATCACCGTGAACAATAGCAAGACTACAGACAAAATGATAGGCATACCTTAAATATCCGGCGTTAGTCTTATCCAGTGCCGAATATCTGTTGTACAAGCGGTATATCTGCTTAGGAGAAACTAATAGCAGAATTGATAAATCCACTTATAGAACTTACATCCAGTTTCTTCAGCGATTTCCTCGACCTCAGACTGATCAAGAGTCTTTGATATATTCGTACCCATCGAAAAACGATTCAAAACTCTCCAAGGTCATGTGATGGCAAGTTAGTTGCAAAGAAGTTCAATGATCAAACTCTGACTTGTCCAATACGCAACATCTGTTTGTGAAGCTTGCGCAAACTTTCTGACTTCTTCGAGATCGCTTCTTGGTTTATAAGAATGATTTTCCGTTTTTAGTCGATTTTACTGCCCTACATCCTGCAGCTTTGCTGAAGGCGATAAGATAGCCCACAACAGCTTTATGTAGGGCGATGCACGATTTGTACCACTGAAGCTAGTAAGACTTAAAAATATAGTCTCACTGGGAAATTCTCCAGGTTGTTCAACAAACACGCTGTAGAAAGGAGTTGTAGGGGAGTTAGGAGGGAGTCCAAATAAGGGATAGATAAAATAAATGAAAGGTTATGCAAGGTTACTGGATGTAAAACAAGTAAAACATAGAAAGAGCAGTCACAAACAAAATAAATGGATGGAAAGGAAAGAATGAGATGAGTAGGGATAAAGGCAATAGTTAAAGTTACAATGAGAATATGAAGTATGTGAAGATAAGTGGGATGTTTGCAGTACTAGTATATTTTTGAAGAATTGCTCTACTATCTCTGTAGAAAAGCGCAAACCTGTTATCTTTCCGTGATGGTCTAGCCTTCTCTTTTCTGTTTACGAATGCGACACTAGCCACTTTTTCAGGAATTGATATCAGTAGGGTACCCATACATTTGTTGCTGGATTTCACCAGATGGACACACCAAAAACCAGATGGACTTCATTTCAATCTCAAGGAAGTGGAGACGGAGCCTACTGGACACAAAATCGAGGAGAGGAGCAGATGTGGGTTCAGACCACTATCTAGTACAAGGGACTTTCAAGGTGAAGCTAAAAGCCTCGAGGATACCTGGGGATAGGCCACAATGCAAGTTCAACACGCAAAAACAGGAGCACACAATCACACAGGACATTTTCACTGCAACTGTCAGAGCAAAGCAGCAAACAATACGACGCATCACTGACAAATCATGCGTGGAAGACCATTGGAACTCTCTGAAGATGATTTTAACCTAAACGTGTTCAACGGTTTTAGGAAGAAAGAAGAAACAAAACAAAGAATGGCTCTCAACGGATACTTGGAAGTTAATAGAGGAGAGGAGAATGGTGAAAGAGAAAATGATTCAATGCAAAGATGGACAAGAGAAAGAGACGTTGAGCTCACTGGACAAATAAGTGAAGAAGAGTGCCAGGAAGGACAAAAGGCAATTCTACGACAATCTGGCCACTGAAGCTGAGAAGGCAGCAGGCAAAAGAGACCTAAAGACATTATATCAGATAACCAAGTCTCCATCCAGGAAGAGATCAACACAAGTGAAGCCAATAAAAGACAGCCAAGGGAACCCAGTTACCAAGGAAGAAAGACAGATTAAACAATGGGCGGACCACTTCAAAGGACTCTTGAATCGACCACCACCTACAACCCGTCCAGAAATACCAGCAACTGCACGTACACAACTGCAAGTTGACACCAATCCTCCAACGAAAGCTGAAGTCATGAATGCAAACAAGCTTGTGAAAACTGGAAAAGCAGCTGGACTAGATGGAATACCCCGGAAGCACTAAAAGCGGACCCAGAGATGACAGCAGATATGCTGACTCCATTATTGCAAAAGGTTTGGAAAGAGGGAAAGGTGCCTACTGACTGGAGGAAAGGTTACCTCGTGAAACTACCAAAGAAGTGCGACTTAGTACTCCGCAAGAACTGGCGAGGAATCATGCTCCTGTCGACGCCAAGTAAAATCCTGAGTCGCATCATCCTGGAGAGAGTAAAGGACGCATTGGATACAGAACTCCGACCAGAACAAGCTGGATTCAGGAAAGGCAAATCATGTTCTGACTAAATTGCAACTCTACGCATTATCATCGAACAAAGCATGGAATGGCAATCAAATCTCTACCTCAACTTTATAGACTTTGAGAAGGCCTTCGACAGCGTTGACCACGAAGTAATTTGGAAACTACTCAAGTACTACGGCGTGCCCCAAATATTCATCAACCTTATTCAACAGCTGTACGACAACGGCACATGTCAAGTGATCCACAACGGAAAACTCAGCGAAGCGCTTGGAGTAAACACAGGAGTCAGACAAGGGTGCTTATTATCACCAATGATATTCCTAATTGTGGTGGACTGGATTATGCGTCAGACAGTGGGAAACGAGAAGACAAGGATATCCTGGACCGACGTGAAGAACCTAGAAGACCTGGATTTCGCGCGTGGATGATTTATGTTTGATGTCACACAATATCGAAGACTTGCAAGCGAAAACCGACAAACTGGTCGAAGAAGCAGCAAAGACAGGACTCCAGGTGAACAAGGTTATGAAAATAACCAGCCAACAACAACAACAGCAACATCCAGCGCCAATCACCATCAACGGACGGGATTTGAAAGAGGTCACTTCATTCACTTATCTAGGGAGCATTGTCTCAACTACAGGAGGAATGGACGAGGATGTCAAATCGAGAATCGGGAAGGCGAGAAACACATTCATCAACCTGAAACCAATCTGGAAATCTTCGTGACTCACTCAGCATCAACAACAAAATTCGGATTTTCAATACAAACGTCAAGTCAGTCAGTTCTTCTATACGTATCAGAAACTTGGCCAGTGGGTCACAAAGAATATTTCCAACAGCCTTTTGCAGACCTTTATCAGCAACTGTCTTCGCTGGCTCTATACTGAAGATCAGATGGCCGGGAAGAATCACCAACAAGAAACTATGGGAACAAACAAAACAAGAACCAATCGCCCAACAAATATGCAGGAGAAAGTGGAAATGGATTGGACACTCGCTGAGAAGGCCGCTGGGTGACATCGCGCGTCAGGCCATAGCTTGAGTGGAACCCAAAAGGGAAGCGGCGAATGGGACGTCCAAAGGTGACATGGAGGAGTTGAAACAGTATGGATTAACATGGACGCAGGTGAAAAGTACAGAAGAAGACAGAAGCAAGTGGAGACGTGCAGTTGAAGCCCCATGTTCCACTAGGAATCCAAGGGAACAATAATAATATTTCACTTTTTCCTGCATATTTGTTGAGCGATCGGCTCTTGGTTGGTTTTATCCCATAGTTTCTCGTTGCTTATTCTTTCTGGCCATTTGATCTTCAGTATGGAGCTAGTGAAGTCGTCAGCTGCTGGTGAAAGTCTGCAAACTGCTGGAAATCCTTTCCATGATACGTAGTACAAGTTTCTGACCCGTTGAGTACAGATTTCCAAACTTGTTTCACGTTGATGAAGGTGTATCTTGCCTTTCCGACTCTGACTTTGACATCTTCGTCCTTTCCGCCTGTAGCTGAAGCGATGCTTCCTGGATGGCGGAGTGAGGTAACCTCTATCAAATCTCTCATGTTGACGGTGATTGGTGCTGGTTGTTGTTGATGTTGATTGGTTATCCTCATCAACTCCGTCTTCTCCGTGTTCACCTGCAGTCCTGTTTTCGCTGACTCTTCAGCCATTTTGTTGGTTTTCGCCCGCAAGCTGTCAAGTTTGTGTGACATTAGTCATCTATCATCTCCGAAATCATCCACATGCGAATCCCAGATCTTACAGAGTCTTCTTATCGGTGGTCTGACGTATCACCGTCTTATCACTCCCCACGCTCACTCTGATGCATAATCCAATACACCACAATGAAGAATATCATCGTGAGTGATAGTAGGTCGCCAGCTTGTCTAACACATGTCTTCATTCACTTTGAACGCCTCACTGAGTTTTCCGTTGTGGATCACTTGACACGTGGCGAGCATTGTCATATACCTGGCTGTTGAATGAGATTGATAAAGAATTGGGCACTGCATGCCGTAGTGTTGAAGTAGTTTCCAAATAAATTCATGGTCAACGCTGCCTTTGAAGACCTTTCCGAAGTCGATGAAATTGAAGCATATTGAGGTCTGACTGGAATTCTATGCTTGTTCTGTGATGATGATGCCTAGAGTTGCATTTGGATCAACACATGATTTGCCTTTGCTGAATCCCGCCAGCCTTTTCCGGTGGGTTAGTGGAGTTCTGCATCGGGGGCATCTTCTATTCCCTCGAGGATGATGCGACTGAGTATTTTACTTGATGTAGACAAGAGCATTATTCGACTTCAGTTCTTGCAGAATGAAGTGAAAGTCGCCATTGTTTGGCGGTTTGACGAGGTACCCCTTCTTGCAGTCGGTAGGCATCTCTCCTTCTTTCCAAATCTTTTCAAGCAATGGATTTAGAACATCTGTCGTAATATCTGGGGCCATCTTCAGTGCTCCTGGGTGGGGGAATTCCATCTGGCCCCACTGCCTACCCGGCAAGCGTGTAGTAGCTTGATCGTGCTCAGGATTTATTCTTTCGTTGGAGGACTGTTTTCCACTGGCATTTCCGTGTGTGCTGTTGGTGGTACTCCTGGGCAAGTTGCAGGTGATTGTCGGTTCATGAGTCCTTTTAAGTGATCACCCCAGTGTTTCATTCGTTTCAACTCCTAGGTGATCAGGTTCCCTCGAGCATCTTTTATTCATTTCATTATCTGGGTTGATCTCTTCCCGGACAGTGAGCGAACGGGTTGTCTGATACAATGTTCTGAGGTCTCTTTTACCTGCGACCTGCCCCTTCTGCTTCAGTTGCTGGCCAGTGTGTCGTAGAATTGTCTTTCGCCTTTCCTAGCAATCTTCTCCACTTCATCCAGTGCAGTGTACATTGTTCTGAACTCAGCTTCTTCTTCTATTGCTCATCTCTGCATTGAGCCATTTTCTCTTTCACCATCCTACTCTGCTCTCTTCTATTAGGTCCCTGGTAGGTGTACATTGAGAGCCATTCCTTGTCTTGTCTCTTCCTTCTTCCCAGAACAGTTGTACACGTTCCCTTGAAAATCACCTCCGAAGAGTTAGTTCCAATCTTCTTCCAAGCAGGTTACCTCAGTGATACCACGCAGTGTCTCCGACTTTGCTCTGATCTCATCTGTAGTGAAGGCAGGTATTCCTT